GGGGGGAGGAAGCATTTAAGAACTAGAGGAAAGTTATGTTTCATTGTTGCTACCCAAGACTGTACTTCTTTATGGGAATGGACAGCCTCATCTTTCTCCCGTGGAACAGCTGGTGGTTTTGAACTGCTAACCTGGTGATCAGCAGTGTAAAACATAACTAACCAAGGTGCCAGCAGCTTAAAGAATAAACTCCGTGGCCATTAGTTGTATGAAGTCTGTCTTATGGAAGGAGCCGGGGCCAAAACAGGCAAGCATCAGCTGCTAGCCAAAAGGTTGTCGATCCAAACCCACTCAGCCGCCCCGAGGGAGCGAACAAGCTCAGGAAACCTAGGGGACAGTTCTCCGCCCTGGACGTTTTGATGCGTTGGCACCAGCTGGAGGGCACACAGTACCACCACGTCATCACACTCTGGAGTGGCAGTGTGTACACGAGGACAGGTCAGTGTTAATCTCTTCCTGCGGTTCCCTCTGCTACTGTTCCTGTGTTCAAACTGTTCAAAACTGCCCATTGGACAGGCTTTGACCTTTTAACGAAAATGCTCATTTGTGAACAATAAACATTTCTTCACCGTGGGGTGGGGGTGGGTTCCAGGAGTCAGCATAGCGAATGAGACTGCTGCTGGCGAGTGGCTGAAAGCAGTTTTGCGGTTGTGAGAGTTTGGTGTCCCATGGAGTCCTTCAGTCAAACCCTGAGGAGGCCTTCGAGGACAAAGTGTGCCGCGGGACCATTACAGAGTTGGAAGGTGACAGAGATGAGTGAGGCCCACCCAGGTAAGAAGGCTAGTGATGTAGAGAAATGGCAGGTGACAATTGACGGGGATTTTCGTGAGGGTGTGCACCGTGGGGGCAAATAGAGTGTGACGTGGCAGCTGATGCTTGGCCCCATCTTCCTCTCATCTCGCCATCTCCTCTGCTCAGAAAACTTCCAATCTTCACATGTCGGCATGAATTCGGATCAAACAAACCCTGTCTGTGGGGCCGATGTCACCCCCCGGGTTCCCCTCATTTCGCTGGAGCTTGGCTCTGGCACAGGGTATCCCGAGCACTCCCCTCTGGCTCTGCCTTACAGTGCTGGCCGGGGGTGACCGTCAGCAGGTGAGGGGTCAGTGGTGCTGAAAGTGATCGTAGTGTGGGCCTCGTGGGTCATGTCAGGCACAGGCAGCTCCACGGCCGTGAGTGTGGCCTGAGTTCGCGCTGGTCCAGGACCCGCAGAGACCAGTTTCCCTGATGCACACCCGGGCTTTGTGTATGGCTTTATACACATCCATTTACCTCCCACTCAACCTTCCAAATCCCCCCAAAGCTAGGGGGTGGCGCATGCCGTAGACATTCCTACGGGCTTGTTCTGAGTGGTCTTGGCTTTCAAATGCCTGTGTTTTTGTGGTTTCTTCCTTATGTTACTACCATTGTGACAGGTGTTTGTTGCTTGGTTAATGCTGCAGCGTCCCCTGAGTGATGTGTGTGTGTCAGTAGTGCTTCTGGTTGTGATGGTCCAGTAACCAGATTGACATGTGCATTGCTGCTTAGGAGGGACCATATTCATATGCTTATGATTAAAAAAACAAACCCCCAAATAAGACTCCAGCCCACTGCCATCCAGTCAATTCCAGCTAGTAGTGACCCTGTAGGACACTGCTGTTGTGGGTTTCTGAGGCTGTAACTCTTTAGGGGAGTAGAAAACCTCCTCTTTCTGCCTAGGAGCAGTTAGTAGTTTTGAACTGCTGACCTTGTGGTTAGCAGTCCAACTGGTAACCTCCTGCACCCCCAGGGCTTCCCTCATGGCTAAAGCATATGTTGATTTGTGTCTGACTGTTTCTGTGTCTCAGACATTGGGCTGCTGGGCCCACTAGGTTAGTGGTTCAAACCCAGCAGCCACTCCGTGGGAGAAAGATGAGGCTGCCTGCCCATGGAGA